TCTCAAATAAACCTTATCTAGAGATATATTTCTTGATCTGTTATGTATAATTTGTCAGTAGATTGTAGGAATAATATGGTTCCCTCTGGTTTTCGTGACTAGCTAGGCATTGTTTCTCTCTTGTATCGTCTCACCCCTCTATCATGATTTTCCCACTTAAGGTGCCCCCACTTCCCCCCTTTCTTCCTTACTAATACCCTTGCTCCTATGATCCTACCTCTGTTGAGTTTCTTCTTATTGGTGTGCTCTGTAGCGGGGTATTTGGAGTCCTATGTAGCTGAATCTGAAAGCGCGATATCCCTGATTTGCTGGGTTGGCATGGTGGCTCTTCACAGGCCTGAAGGCCTGTTCTGGTTGTTTTTTTGGTGTGTGTGTGTGTGTGTGTGTGTGTTTGTGTGTGTGTTCATGTGTGTGGGTGGAGGTCACAGACCAACCTCCAGTGTCCTGTGGTGTCATTCCTTAGGCATGCTAGCCACCTTATTTTATTAAGAAAAATTTCTATTGTTATTACATCTGTTTGTGTGTGTGTGTATGTGTGTGTGTGTGTTTGTGTGTGTGTGTCTGTGGGTGTCTGTGTGCATGTGCATGAGCATGTACATGCCAGTAGAGGGCAGAGGACAACGTCTATCATGTGGGTTCAGGAGATTGAACTCAGGATATCAGACTTGGTGGCAAGCACCTTCACCAACTGAATCTCTATTTTATTTTTGAGACAGGTCTCCTTGGCCTGGAGCTCACCCATTAGGCTAGGCTGGCTGCTACCTGTCCCTACCTCCCCAGCATGTGCCACCCTATCTGGCTTTTTTATGCACTTCTAGGAGTTGAACTCAGGTCCTCTTGCATAGCAAGCATTTTATGGACCAAGCTGCATATTAGTTCTGATTCTTTCACTTGTGTGTCAGAGATCTGGTCCCTGCCACAGTTCCCATGACATCTACTTGTTTCACAGGGAGTCTAATGTTCATCTCTACCAAGCTGAAAGCAAAAGTGGAACATTCTTTTTTTTTTATACTGACATGGAAGATTATGACATCTTACTACCTCACTGAAGCAATTCTTTGGTTTTGAAGTCTGAAAAATACATTTATTGTTTGTATTAATAATAAGTGAATTTATTTTTAAAACAATGAAAAAGATGAATAAGGTACAAGTGGCATTTTATCACCTCCATCTCCATACCTTAGAGGTAACCAGATACCCTAAATGCCCTTCCTTTTGATGGACCCATGAGAGGGCTCAGTGGGTAAAGGTGCTTGCTGCTGAGCCTTTTGATCTGAGTTCAATCCCTGGGACCCAGGAGGTGGAGGAGGAGAATCAAACTCTTACAGGTTGTGCTCTGGTCTCAACGCTTGTGTTGTGGTGTGCATGTGTGCCATAGTGCACACACACACACACACACACACACCAATAATATATAATAAAAATTAAAACATAAAAACACTTCCTTTAGATATATATATGTATATGTGCATAGACATGAAATAAGCTCAAAGATAAATTGTTAAAATCATACTGTAGGGGCTGGAGAGACGGCTCAGTGTTTAAGAACAGTGGTTGTTCTTGCAGAAGACCTGGGTTTGACTCCTAGCACCCACATGGCAGCTAACAACTGTCTGTAACTCCAATTCTAGGGGATCCGACAGCTTCTTCTGTCCTCCGTGGGCATTGCATGAAACGGGTGCACTTACCTACATGTAGGTGTAACACTCATACACATAAAATAAAATAAAAAATACTGTAAACAGTATTTATAGTCTGATACCACATTTCACATTTTTTTAACATATTATTTTTATTTTATGTGTATGAGTGTATTGCTTGCATGTATGTGAGCGCACCTGTGTCATGCAATGCTGTGGAGGTCAGAAGAGGGCTTCAGATTCCCCTGGAACTGGAGTTAAGGATGGTTTGTAGCTGCCATGTGGGTGCTGGGAATCGAACCCAGGTCCTCTGCAAGAGCAGTCAGTGCTCTTAACTGCTGAGCCATCTCTCCAGTCCCCATGATACCACATTTTAAAAAAGGCCCTCTAGTTAGTTGTGACTTATAAGGCCTGATGTGATATCTTCGGTATCTTTGAGTCTGTAAGAGTGTAATGTCAGAATCCAGTTGCTGTTCAGGGCCACAGTACCTGCAGCAGCTCTTCCTCTACCCACAAGCACCCTACTGAGACACTGTCTGTGAGTCCTTAGCTAGTGAATTTCCAGTTTCTCATGGGGAAGAGAGTTTATGTCAAGGGGCCTTAGTGGCCTAACCTTCTGCTACCTTCCCTGCCTCTGGCCTGGGAATGAGAGAGCCTCGCTGAAGGCTTATGTTGTGAAACTCCCCTTATCCTCATCCTCAGAAAAGTACAAGAGACCCCACTTCTGCCACATGGGCCCTGATTTCCTCTCTCCAGACCCCTTCCCCCACACGCATCTGTCTCTGATGTCTGTCTGGCCTGAACTCTCTTCAGAGTGCCTGCTGGGCTATTGTCTATTTGACTATCTATGGCATTAAATAAATCTTGTGGTCTCAAGGAACAATCCCTCTCTTGGAGACCTTTCAGTGCCTTTCTAGTCCTCAACATAGTGTGTTGTGCTAAATATTTGTCGTCCATGAAACAATTCTTGACTGCATCTACACAAAGCTCATTCCCCCAACTTGCTCCCGGGTCCGCCCCGTCTAAGCATGGGAACTCAAGCCCTCTGTTCCCAGACATTCATCTTTATTGTGTCACCTTTGCCAGTACCCTGCTAGAAGTTTTAGGTGAATTAACTCTTAAGCCTTTGAATGCTTCTGCGAGGTGGACACTGGTTCTCCTAGCTCCAGGAGAGCTTCACTTCCTGAGGCTACAGGACTTTGAGAAGTGGAACTGGGTTTGTGCTGAATCTGCTGCATCAAGAGCCTCCTCTAAGACTAGCAGTCAGTGACGTGCTGTCAACCCACTGTTTATTATGCACATGCTGAATTCAGATGCCTTAAAATCATTATAGGCAGAGTATAAGGAAGCAGCTCAATTTCATTTGTTTAAGGAATATTTTCAGAAGAGAGGGCCTCAAAAAGAAATGAAATAAAAATGAGCTCAGGAAATAGCCTAGAGAAAAAAGAATCAAATTTATTAAGAACAGAACAGGATTGCCAAGAAGGGTGAGTTAGTGTCGGGAAGAGAGGGAGACAGGAGGAGGTGGGCTGCCTAGTGGCTCCATGGAATTTGAAAAAGGGCCTTGTCCTATCCCAGAGGGACTGAAGAGCTGTGGTTGGCAGCTTGAGGGGGTGGTGTTAAAAACGTGTGTGTGTGTGTGTGTTTATGTGTGTTGGTTAAATACAGCCATGCACTGTATAATGGCATTTCAGTAAACGATGGACTGAATATGGAACAATTGTAAGATAATGTCACATAGTGATGTCACTCACTCTTCTTTGTAAAATCACACTCTGACTTTCGCAACAACAAAATTGCCTAATTTCATATTTCTCAGAATATATCCTTAGGTTGTACATGTTTACATATTAAACATAAATGTAATTAGTTTTAATCAACATTGACATTATTATTATAATAAATAATAAAAATTTTGCATCTTGAATTTCTTGGCTAATTCCTTTAATGTTCTGTTTTGTTTCTTTGGGTTTCTTTTTTTGAGAAAGAGTCTCATGTATCCCAGGCTGACCTTGAACTTGCTTTATAGAGGATGGCCTTGAACTCTTGATCCTCCTGCCTTTACCTCCTAAGTGTTGGGATGTGAGGGATGTGTCATCATGTCTAGTTTATGTGGTGTGAGGGATAAAACCCAGGGCTTCTTGCCTCCTAACCAAGCACGCTACCAAACTGATCTGTCTCCAGCCCACAATGAAGAATTTTTTTGAGCTTTTTGGGAGGGCGGCAGCCTGTGTCTCATGTAGCCCAGACCAGCCTCCAACTATGTATGGAGTTAAGGAAGACCTTGAAGGACTACAGGCCTGTACTATCAAGTCTAGTTTCATAGGGTTCTGGAGACTGAACCCAGGGCTTCGTGCATGCCAGGCAAGCACTCTACTGAGCTATATTCCCAGGGTTCTGGGTTAAATCTGAAGATTAATATTAGCAACTCACAATTTCCTTTTTGGGAATTGGGATTTAATTTTGTAGCATATGCCAAGGGAGGATATTTATTTTTGTGAGGTCTACAAATGTAGGCATGGTAAGTACACTCACAAAACATGTAGAGACCCATGAGACAGGAGCACATATGTTTGGAATGGCTGCTTTTGGACAGACATAGAACAACAATTTCTAAGAACAAGAGAATCACAGATTTCATTAATTTACCAAGATGGGCAATCCTAGAGAAGGGAAGAGGGGGATAGGCTGCCAGGCTGCCCTACATGCTGTGTATGGATTCAGGGATCTCCTTGAGAAGTCTCTGAGCAGTGGCAATGGGCAAGAGCTTGGCTGTTTACTCTCACCTGTTTGAGTCATTCAGGGTGTTTTTACACATTGGAAGTTTTTCCTTGTCAAAATTTCCAACTGGAGAGATGGCTCAGTGGTTAAGAGCTCATATTACTCTTGCAGAAGATCCAAGTTCTGTTCCCAGCACCCACACTGAGCAGCTCACAAATACCTATAACTTCAGTTCCAGGAGATCTGATGCCCTCTTTGGGTCTCTAAGGACAACTGCACTCACATGCACCTCCCCCCTCCCCTGCCAAAACACATGCATGCACATAATTAAAATTAAAACTAAGTCTTAAGAAAACCTCCATATTAGGAAATCCTGGACCATCAACCTGCCTCCCCCACACTCCCTTTTACCTCAGCAGCTGGTCCTCCAAACCTGATTTAGTCACAGTGAAATTGATGATGGTGACTTTGATGCACACCTGGAAGAGAAACATGGAGCACATGAATGGTGGGTGCAGACTGGCCATACAAGGAGAGCTAGCTGCTTTCCTTATCAGAGCACAGCTTCCTGATAGGAAGAGGTAGCTCAAGTTCGATTGCATACAACCAACCCACATAGTCTAAGCACAATGTGGCTTTCAAAATTCGAATACCATTTTCCCTAGCAGCATGAGTGATGATCTTTTTCCTCAGCCCTGACAGTTACAGGATCCTATACAATGGTTTAAGAAGAGGTGAAAGGTTAGGAGCAGTATTTTAGAATCAACAGCTTGGGTTTGAATTCCAGCTGTACCTTCTAGTGGATGTATAATGTTGGGGAAGCTCTCCATCTGTGTTGAACTTTAGCTCCTGATAGTTAAAAGTTGTGATTATAGGGTTGGAGAGATGGTTCAGTGGTTTAGAGCACTGGCTGCTCTTGTAGAGGACCCGGGTTTGATTCCCAGCACCCACATGGTGGCTAACAACCATCTGTAACTCCAATAACAGGGGATCTGATGCCCTCTTCTGATCTCTGTGGGCATTATACAACATGCATACACTTACATACATGCAGGCAATACAGTCATACACATAAAATAAAAATAATAAAATAATTTTTAAAAAGTTTTGATAATGAAGAATTTATAGGTGAATAAAGGATTCACAAGATATTAGGATCACTTAGTTATAACAACATATATAATGCCTTTGTTAAAAATGAGCTATTATTACAAGCAAAAAGAACTTTACACATTTCCCTTCAACAGGAAGTTTTATAGGAAATTGTTATTATGCCATTGTAATATTCTGACATCACTTGAATAGATGAACGGCAAGGAAAAGGGAAAAATGACACCTTCCACCATCTCTCAGTACACCTCCTGGACTTCTGGCCAATAATTCTCAAGTATCACCAAGTCACCAGTGTTTTCAAATAGATGGTCATTTTATTTTATTTGACATGGGTATCTGAGCAGTGCCACAAGGCAAGACATCATTCTGGGGATTGATTGGGTGGAGATTTGAGTCACACAAAAGCCGGGTGGTGAAGATGGGGAATAGGAAGAATAGAAGAGGATTGCTCACTGATCCCTGGAGGTGGGACCCACCAAGTTTTAGAGACTCAGTATACATCATAATTCAGTTGGGTGGGAAGTTCCAGACTAACAGTTCATACCTCAGGCAGGTAGTGGGGATTCGGCATTTTGGTTGTCATATAGAGCCTGAAACTTTTGTCATAATCAATGTCAGAGTTTCCAAGGCGGATGAGTAGTCGCCCACCACTGACAAAAGTTTGTTTTAAAAGAATGGGTTCTAGGGCTGGATCCAAAATTTCTTTGAGCTTAAGAGTGGAAACAAACCATATAAAAAGAAAGGAGTTAAAATAGATGTCATCAACTTGCCAAAATTCCTTGAAGGGATTCAAACTTTACTATAAATGAGTATTCACACACCCCCAAGTGATCATGATTATTATTGTCCTTACATTGCCTCTTAACACTGTATGTTTTCTGATTTTTAAAAAAATCAATTGTCTAAAGGAAAAACAGCACACAAAGTATTTAGAACACTCTTATTCACTACTCTTTTCTGTGAAAAATAAGGTAAGAGAGGAAGGTTAGGCGCATGAACTCACTGTAGGTTCACCTATCCCTTAGCCATCTCCAGACATATGCAGGTGACCCACTCTTCAGTGGTCCCCAGACAGGTAGGTTTGTAAATCTTATAGTTGTTCTACTTAGGGGTTAACCAACTACATCCTGTAGGCCGAATTTGGACCCCTGTGGCTTCGTTTTGTATGTGTCTTAAGTTGAGATTTAAAAAACAAAACAAAACCATTTTCTCCATGATGTAGCAGCTGAAATCTCAGCAGACCGCCAGAGAGTGCCTGTTTCAGCCTCCCTCTGGCATAGGGGCTGAGAACTCAGGGGACCACCTGAGAGCACCTGGATCCTGCCTCCACGTGGTGCATGAGGCAAGCAGCCTCTTTCCATAAGTTGGAATATTTTACATAACTTCTTCAATGGACATCGTGTGCTTCTCCTTCTATGATGGATTACTTTATTATTTCTCAATGACTTCTAGGTCAATCCATGTTGTGACAAAGGGCAGAATTTCCCTCTTAAGAGTGAATAATATCATGGCTGAAGAGAAGGCTCAGCAATTAAGAATACTGAATATTCTTGCAGAGGACCTGGGTTCTAATCCCAGCACCCACATGGCAGCTAACAACTGTCCGTAACTCCAGTTCCAGGGGATCTGACAGCCTCTTCTGTCCTCCATGGGCACTGCATGACAGGGGTGCACTTACCTACATGCAGGCAATATACACATACACATAAAAAAGAGTGAGTAATATTCTATTCCATTTATATATATGTATATATATTATAAGATATACAACCCATGGGTATGGTTGCTTTCATAATGTACTATTCTGAACAATTCCGCAATGCACATATTTTCTAGGAGACCTTTGGGGGCCAGGATAGGAGAACAAAGAAAAGCCAGGGTGATCTGATCAGTGTCAATATATGCATGCATAGACTTGTTACACTCCTATAGTCCTAATGTCACAGCCTTCTAGACTTAGAATACCAAATTAGAATGTGTAATGTCATGTAAGGGAGACAAAGTGGCTGGAATGGTACAAAAGTCAAAATCTTCCTATACTTGGGGCTCAGTTTTCTGGATACAAATCCATTAAGTCAGTGCTATCAGTGCTAGTCACTGCTTCCTGGAAGAAGAACCCCAGCGTCCTATCTCCATGTACAAAGCTCCTGCAACACATAGAGTCTGTGCAAGATCTTGATTTCAATTCTGAGAAATACTCAGAAGATGGCTTGTCATAAGTAGTTGTATTTTTAATTTTGAAAGAACTGCTATGTTGTATTTTATGTAATTGTATCATTTGACATCCCTTACAATATGCAATAAAAAAGATTGGTTCCCCCCTGCCCCCAAAAAACCCAAACATTTTAAGTGATCAACAGATGACCCTCCTCTTCCCAAACCAAACCAAAATAAAGAAAAATATGTATTGAAGCTGTGTGAGGCTACAAAACCTAAAATCTTTACTATTTGGCCCTTTATTAAAAAAGTTTGTGGCCCTCCATTATTCTGCTTGGTGGTTATTTTATTTTATTTTTTCCTCAAAGTCAATGTGTTTGATGTTTTGAACTTGGGCATGGTGACATTACTGAAGGGATTTTGTCCACTGCTGTGAAAGAGGAAAGTTCCCCTTGGACCTCTTATGTCCCAAACTAAGAACACAGCTTAGGGATAACATAATTGTGCCAAAGACTTCTAGAGACTTTCCTCTCTCCTATGACTTCAGGCTTTGAGGAAGGCCTTAGGTTCATTCCAGCACCTTCCCTGTGTCAGCCAAAGCTTGGCTACATTGGGGACCTGATGCTTTCTGTGGCTAAAGTGGGGAGTATAGTAATCATTGTGGATTTCCTAAGCAGTCAAGACTGCTCAGATAGTTCCACCTTTTAATGCCTCAGTTACTCCACTGGAAAATGGGGTTGATAATAACTATTCTGTAAGGTTGAAGTGAAAGTTAATGAGTTAGCATACTAAGAACCAAATTTTGACTGTAGTGAACATCAACAAATATGAGGGAATACTGACATATTAATTATTATTCCTTGTCACCATTCAGAGGTTGCAGCTAAGTTACCCCAGGCCAATGTCATTTCTAAGCATCCTCAGAGAAAAGCCTACATAGGACTGAACTGCTCGCAGCCCATGCTTTTGTTTGTTTATTCTCTACAAAAACAGAATGGCAAATTACGGAAACAAAATGTGGTCAGTAGCCAAAAGTCCTTGACTTTTGCACATGCCCTGGCCTGGGAAACCCCTCTCACTGGACTTTTCCCCATGGCTGAGCTCAGACAGAAGTCACACCTTAAATCGTATCCTCTCTAGCCACCTGTCTAATTAGGCTCTGCGCTGGTTAGTTTTTATTGCCAGCTTCCCAGAGTCACTTGGGTAGAAGGAATCTCGGTTGAGGAATTTCCTAGATCAGAGTGACCGGTGGGTATGTCTGTGGGGCATTGTCTTGATTACTAATTGATGTAGGAAGGCCCAACTTATTGTGGGCCATAATACTTTTGGGCAGGTGGTCCTGGGTGGTATGAGAAGCTAGCTAAGCATGAGCCAGTGAGTGAGACAGCAAACAGCATTCCTCCACAGCTCCTGACTCCGGGTTCCTTCCTTGACTTCTGCTCTGACTTCCCTCAGTGATGGATTGTGACCTGGAAATGTAAAGCCGAATAAACTCTTTCCTCCCTGAGTAGTTTTGGTCAGAGTGTTTTATCACAGTTGGAGAATGAAACTAGAACAGGCTCCTCACCTCTTGCTGCCGATCTTTGCATCCTGCTTCTTCCTGCCATGCTCCTATTCAAAGACCTGTTCTTCGCCCCTTATGTTTTCTCATTCTCTGTTTACTGGTTTTGTTCCCAATTAGATTGCATACTATTGTCAGAGTAGCAAATAGCCCTATAAGTTTAAGACTGTAAAATCCCTAGTCTATCTGTTGGATGACCCATCTTTCCAGTTTCACTGGTCAATCATGTGGTCATAGGAGCACCCCTAGGAAGGCAGGTTCACCGTAAATTATGCTAAATAGATGGGTGGAATACCTAGTGTGCTAATGAGACAGTGAACTTTCCCTGCCTGGAATCCCACCTCTCTGTGCGGTGCTTCTGGACCCAGCAATGGACTTGTAGGTCTCTGTAACTCGGCCTACTTTAGAATTCAGAAAAGCATACCTCTCTCTCCTTTTCTTCTTCATATCCCTTTTCTAAGCATGCTTTCTTTTGATGCTTTGGGCTGCCCTAGCATCTTGTATTTCTTTACTTTTTCTCTAAAACTTCCTTCTCCCAGCCATATGATTGCCAGTCAGTCATATGCATCTGACCTCTATCTAGGCTCTAAACCTGCATGGCTTCATGGCTTTCTTTCCTTCCCCCGCCTCCATTCTCTTCCTCAAGGCAGCTAGTGAGACTACCAGCTCCCCTGCCCTGAAGAGTTTCTTTAAAATTCTAATAAAATTGTTCTAAAGCTTCTGTTTGGGTCCATTCTTAAATTCTTTTATGAATGAGACTAAGAACCCTCTAGGGGGCACTCTTTCTTCCCATTTCACTATCGAGGACAGGAACCCTATCTTTATTGCTTGCCGTTTGTTCTCAAATGTTTGTGGAATGAATGAACAATATAAGCTACATCATTCTTAAGAGTGATAAATCCCACAAGGGAGCATCTTGAATCAACAATCCACTCCTCTGGGGGACTGGGAGTGTAGCTCAGTGGGTAGAGTGTTTGCCTAGCATGAGCCTTGGGTTAAAGCTCAGTGCATAGACCAGTCATGGTGGTACATACCTGTAATCCCAGCAATCAGGAGGTAGAGGCAAAAGGACCAGCATATATACATGTCTCATGTATACATGAAACTGTGTCTCCAAAAGAAAATTCATTCATATAATTCATCAATCTAATTCTTATGCACAAGTAGAAAGTGATGTTTACACCCACTGAAATGTTTTATGGTGTGTGAAGTGCATGTAGACAGGGTTCCTGCTGGCATCACTGCTTTGAGTTTCTAAACTTTAAGGCTCACAGTAGGCCTGAGAATGAGCAGTGTTGGAAAGTAGAGACTCTTAACTACGAAACAGCAGAGTGGCCTTCAATTCCTTCAGTGTACTGCATCTGAAAATACACTGTTCCAGTAGCAATTGGCCTGACCAGTTTGAACATGGACTTGACTGGTGTCCTTCCCATAATGTTCCAGATATCTGACAGTTGGGAACTAACATGAGGAGGAAAGTGAAAATCGAACCTCTTCCAGTAAGACGGGTAAACCAAGTCGGATGGAATATTCAAGTATTTGTAAGAAATTACTGTCTGTCAGTTTAATGATCTTTAAACCACTTTTGCTTTCCTTGTTCCTTATCCAGCGGTTCGCCTGTGTGAGAAAGTGCAGAGAAGGGCATTTGCTTAGGAGGTGACTAACGGCTACAAAGCGGCAGTTTCTAGAATAAAGTTAGAATTATTCAATCTAAGTTAGACTGGAGGCATAAAAACAAAACAAAACAAAAAATGAAGCAACCAGAAAAACCTCCTCTCCCCAATAAAAATTCCTTTTAAGGCCAATAATGTTCAGATTTACAACAAAGGAAGAGCCACCTAGGACAGCTTGGACCTCTGCTGTCCGACTTCATTTCTCTGGCTTCCTTTTCTAACCCTTACATAGTATTCAGGAAGGCAGCCAGAACTGTGCGAATTCCAGACAGGCTTGCCCTGAATTCTATCATACCCTGACCGTCCTGATTCCTCAGATTCTTTAGAAAAGAAGGCTTCATGAGTATAAATTTCTGTCTCCCGCAAAAATGAAAAGCAAATGGCCAATCTCCTAAACAAACCAGTCAAAATAAAGTTTGGAGAGTGCTTAAATAGATTGCTTTATGTTTGGCCAATATTTTCCATCCACAATTGCTTGAAACTTGAAACTGTTTGGTTATGGAGTGCCAGTGCCATTATCTCAATTAGTTTTTTCTTTTTTTTTTTTTTTTTTTTTTTTTTTTTACAAAGTGGAACAATTTTTGTAGCTTTTTAATCCATAGGATGAGGGGTTCAGAGTAGAAGACTTCTAAATGCTTGACATTTAAATTACCATAGTCTTAGAAGTATGTTAAAGTTTACTCTATCACAAGTGTCTGTTAGCACACCTGATCTTGGGGATCAATCATCAAGGGCCACCTTCTCCCCTGAGTGACCAAAATGCCATTTTCTGTCGATATCAAGTCTTGGGGTAGTCCATCTGTATTCCACTGCCAGATCTCATAGGGATTGCCCAGGATGTTAATGAGACTGAAGGAGGGGTCGATTGGGATCTCCAGGTATTGACAGTTGTCAATCCAGCATTCTATAAGCTGTATAAGGAAGAACATTCAGGAACACTCAGTAAAAGAGGGCACACAAAATATATTATGGAGGGTGAAGGATAAATGTCTCAGCTTGGAAAGCCCCAGCTAAGTTGAGAAACCCCAACCCCCAACCCACCGACTGTACTGTCTGAAAAAACATGTGCCAGACTCACTGTCCCAAACCCTCAAACCATACCACCAGCATTTATTGTCTCAAACACTCAAACTATAAAAAGCCCGATAACTGCAGGAAAATACCTGATCTTTCCTCCTAAGCCCCATAAAAACTGGGACCAACTGTGCTTCAGTGCTTCAGTTTCAAACCCGTGGAAAAACTGTGATCCTTCATTCCTCTTCAGAAAGAACAATCTGTTCCTGGGATCAGTCTCATCTTTCATTTTCATGTCCTGATCAGTCCTGATCTATCTAACATTTTCTAACAGAGGGAGGTAGGAAGCCAGTGGCTGTAGAGCTGCCTCTACCAATCTCCACAGTGGTGCTGGCATTAGAACACGGAGCACAAAAGTGGCCTAAAAACCAGGGGATCTGATGCTAGAAGTATGTCATTAGCTACAAATCTGAGTATGTTATTCCCACATGGACCTCAGTTTTCTCATGTGTGGTGGCAGTGATGGGGTTGTCACTGATTTTCCAAATGGGTACTTTGTCTTTGGAGAGTCTGGAAGCATGTGGAGAAGTCTGGGGTGACCACAATGACTGAGTAGCACTAGCAGTCAGTAACTGGGGGATAACACCATTGCCACAGAAAAGAACATGACTGAACCAGAGGACACCTGAACTCTCTCTGAGTCTAGGTGACTTCCAGACTAGGTTCCACAACTCAGGGATGAAGGTAAACATTTTTAGGAAGTCATTTCATAAAAATAACTATGGAATTTTTCCTGGTAATTTAATTCTCTGGTAAGTACATGTAGATAGAAAATTTATGCCCTGATAAATGAGAAACTACATTTTTAAATATAAAGACAAAAGACCTAGAATCCAGGGGCTAGAGAGATGGCTCAGTACTTAAGAGCACTTGCTGTTCTTACAGAGGACCCAGGTTCTATTTCCAGTCCCCACACCAGGTAGCTCACAACTGCCTGTGACTCCAGTTCTGGGGGATTTGACAGCCTTTTCTGGCCTCCATGAGCATCTGTATGCAGGGATGCACATACCCATACACAGACACACACTTACACACAAAATAAATAGGTTAAAAACAGTTAAAGTCCTAGAAACCACAGATTCACCAAATGTCTTGCTCTTTCCATCCTGCCAGCTCTCTGTACCTGTCCCGTCCCTTCAGGACACTTCATCCCTGCTGGCAGAAGTAATGGGAAGGCAAGGACCTTACTATACCCTTTCTGCTCTGCAGGATCTTGCGTTGAGTGATGAATATCTTTCCAAAGTAGGAGAAGGAAAGGGAGAAACATGTTAAGGGAAGCCTACCCGCGTGGGCTGTCACTGGCTAGTGGAGAGATGGAGCCCATAGAATAGGCACATATTTCTGCCTGTGAACCACTATGGTGGAGAACCTCCATCTAAACTGAGGAAAAGAAATCCCCAGCATCGCACCCTGGTTTCATCCACCTCTTTCTGCTCTATGCAAAGTGGGCTTACTTACCAACTGCCGATACTGTGCCGTGAAAGCTCCGTAATAAGCCACACAAGCCGCAGCTATGAATACGTTCCCAATGATGTTTGCTATCTCCTCTTGGAATTTCTCTATGCTTTCTTCCCATCGAACCTGCTCATCTCCTAACGCAGCCGTCAGCTTTCCAGCACGGACCAGGCGTGCTTTGGTAAGGGCCATGTTCTTTGCTAGAAAATTTTGAGAACATTGGGTGACATTATTCAATATTTTCCTAAATTATTAGAAGTTGACAAACTTGCTTTTGGTTTCCAGAAGAGGTAGTGTTATTTGATGAATGATGTCAGCTCATCTCTATGAAATCTCACACTAATTTGACATCCATTTACATTTCACAGCCAGGTGTAGGTTAGACTCTTCCAAGCTAAGAACTTCTTGTGATCGTCTTACTCTGGCTGAAGACAGGTACACTCTATTGTCCAGAGTATTTATTTTCAAGACCAAAGTCATGCATTGGTTTGAGTTATAATGTAAAATCCTCCAACAAGCCTTTTCATATGTTGGATGCTGAATATATACAATACCTGCAGTTCTTTTCATCTAATACTAGATGGTTTATGAAAGAAGGCCAATGGAAATATGTGCTAGACTGAAGGTCAGCTCTGACTGCCTGAGAATGCTTCCTGCTTTTGAAAACTGGGCCTTTCCTGTCCAAAGCAAATTTTATGAGTTACTTACCCAGACTTTCTTTCTCATTCACACCTTTGTCATATTCATCTTGTAAGGTCTTTATTTGATCTTCCACTTGTTTTAGTAATGCTTGCTTTCCTTTCAGGGTAGCCATTGTAACATCAAGTTCAGCCTAATAAAAGTGAGCAAACAGGTTCTAGCAGGTTGAATTTTCTATCTATAATATTGATTTCAATTTATATTTTATGTTCTTTTTTAATGTGTTCAAAAACCACTTCAGATGATGTAACTTGGGCTAGAAATGTAGGTTGGTAAGGTGCCTGTCTAATATGTGTGGAACGGAACCCTGGGTTTGAGTCCCAGCATTGTGTAAAAAAAGGCATGGCAGTGTACTTCTGTGATCCTATCACTTGGGAGATGGAGGCGGGAGGACCAAAAATTCAAGGTTATCCTTGGTTACATAGCAAATTCTAAGTCAGCCTGGGTTGCATGAGACCCTGTGTCAACACATACACACACACACACACACACACACACACACACACACATATGAAGTAAAACATAAGACTAGAAGCAAACAAAAGAAAATAAAAACAAGAATAATGCCCAACAAAATAAATCATAAAAAGAATAGAGAAACACGTAATAGTTACCATAATAGGTTATGATTTTACATGATGAAATAAATTGAGATTACATGGTGAGGACTAAGTTTTCCTTACTAGTTCTCCATACTAGATGCCTTACCAATTATGCCCACAGGTCACAGATAGCCTGTTGCTTATTTATAAGCATTTTTATTCACATATATTAATTATATAATGAGTTTCATTATGACATTTCCATACATGGATATAAGGTGTATTTACTACCTTCATCTCCCATTTCCTCTCTCGGCCCTCTCCCATTGATCCTCTTCCTCCTTCTAACTTGTCTTCCTTCTCATGTCTTTCATTTGTAATGACCTAATGTCCAGGAGCATGGGTATCCTACTAGGGGACACAGGACGTTGTTCCTTCTCCCAGCAACTGTTAACTGCTGCTGCTTTTCTGGTAGAGTTTGTGAGTTAGGACTGCTTCTTCTTTCTTCTTCCTCCTCATCTTCCTCCTTCACTCATCCTCCTCCTGCTCCTCTCCTCTTCCTCTTCCCCCTCCCCCCCTTCTTCACTTTCTCCTTCTTCACTGTGTTTGGGATTTAACTCAGGGCTTTGTGTATACTACACAGTGTTCTCACCGAGTCACATCTTCAGCCTCTAAGACCATTTTTCATATTTTGTAATAGAAAAAAATCAAAAGAAGAATGCTTTGTGACAAGATTTCACTTGTGTGAAATTTGAATTACAGTGCCCATTATAAAGTTATGCTGGGAAACGCTAATTCATGGATGTATTGCTTGTGTGTTGGTTGGTTCTGTGAGGTCATCTCAGAGCTATAGTACTACTGTTCACTATCTGGATATTTATAGAAAACTTTTGTTTATTCCTGCTCCACAACCAGAGCCCATTTGGTAACCTGTTCCACTAAAGGTTCGTTCTTTGTTCTTCTTGAGGAAACTAAGGATTCTGTCTGATTGCGAGTTAAGTGGTCCTAACACCCAAGACGACATCAGTTGAGAAACACAGACTATTAAACACGAGAGACTACCAGGCACTTCAAAGGCACCATACAAATACCCTGCCCCCCATGAATATATTAAGTAGATGAATCTATTCAAGACTCACTTTTCTCTTATGTTAGAAAAGGGATGATTTTAGAGGAAATTTCTAAAAGAAACTTTGCCTGTTATTAAAAATGAGCTATTTTCAAGAGCACTACCACTATCCATCTCTCATAGGAACACAGTGGCCTCTGACAGAAAGTGTGAATGATGGTTGGCCATGGCCTCCACTCCACGAAGAACCCAATACAGATAACATACCTGGGCAGCACTGAGCTTTTGTCTTTTTGGTTCAACTTCCTTGAGCACCTGAGAGTACAGATCCATGGCTCTCACCCACATGCACATGGATTTACAGGCTTTGGACACTTTCTCCACTTTTTCAGGCACAAAGTCAGGATTGTTGATATACTTTTGAAGCTTTGCCAGTATTTGAGGTTTTATGTTTTCCTTATCATACTCTAAAAGCCGTCGTAGAAAGTTAGAGTCACCAAGAAATTGCTTTGCTGTTGACCAGTCAGGCCTGAAAGACATGGCAAGTTGACAGCACTGTAATCAAGGAACGTAAGAACGCAGGAGATGATTTCCACAAGAACATTACAGTATTATCCCAGCAGGTGGGAGTTTAACCTCAGCACGGCACACTTAATCCACAGGGAGAGAAAATTAAATGATTCAATTTTCACAGCCTAGATTTGGCAGAGGATGGATTATAAAATAATAGAGTTTTAGAAATCAAGTCATTACAGAAACAATAGTGTTTAAGAAAAAAGATTTATTTTTTATTAATTATACGTATATATGTGTATCTGTGGGAACATGCATTTATAGTACCCACAGAGGCCAGAAGAGGGTGTCAGTTCTGAGTCTAATCACTCCAACAGCTATCAAAATACCTAAAAGCAAATCCTGAATCTATCACTCTCAAGTCCAGCCTTGGCAGATGAAAGAAAAATGAGGAGGAACCCAATAGAGGGATGCTTTTGGAAGCCCTTGTCAAGAAATTCCAATGGACTCTCATATGAACATTTGAAAATTGTCCTGTTCTGACTTTTTTCTAGTTCCCTGTCTAGAACTTGTAATGCTAATTACTCTTGCCTTTACTTCTCCTTCACATCTCCTATTCACTATTCAGACTTTCTTTTCCTCCATGAGACAAGAGTTACGCAATTTGGGAGTCTTTTAGATAGACCCACTGAAGGGGTACTCCAATTGCCTTACCCTGTATCCCTGTTCAGCATGCAAGAAGCCAGAGCAGTCTGGGTCCTGATTCCCTATTGGCAATTTGGGTAACCCCTTCAAAGGATGGTGTGGGAAGGATAGGAGGTAGGAATTAGCTAGGCAGTTAGGGTGAAAAGATCCCAAAGAAAAGTAGCCAGTTTCTTGGCTAATACAATGTCCTTGGGCCTCTTAGCAACCTACTCCGTTCCAAAGGCCAAAAATGTTGAAAATATTTGGGAGCTTTTATCTAATCCTTAAAAGATTTTAGGTTACCTCTTCAGAAGGGGTAATGTTAGAGTAGCCAAAAGTCCCATAAAAAAATTAAAGAAGAAAGACTATATGAAATTATTAGAAAAAAGTGATGGGGAGATATGGGAGGAATTGGAGGGGAGGGAGTGGGCATGGATTGGATCAAAACACCTTATATGCATGTATGAAATTCTCAATAAATTATTTAACAGATTTGTTTTTTATTAATTATACATATGTATGTGTGTCTGTGGGAATGTGCATGTGTAGTACCCACAGAGGCCAGAAGAGGGCGTCAATTCCCCTGGAGCTGGAGCTACAGGTGGATATGACTACCACCTGACACAGGAGCTAGGAAGTGAACCTAGGTTTCCTGGAGAAGCCTCAGGCACTGTTAGCCACTGAGCCATCTCTCCAGCCCTAAAACTATAGTTTTTATTTCAAAAATGCCTTAGGCTCCCATGCATTATCTCCTTTGCCATAGCTTTGACCTTTAAGCTCTCTTGCCAGGATGCTGCAAAAATCATCTTCTGACTAGACTTTGTAGCTTTGGTCAACCACAGTTTTAAAATGTAAGACATTATAGAAACAATATATTTTAAAATGGTTTGTTTTATTTTATTTTTAATTATGCATACAATGTGTGGAAATGTGTACTTGTCCATTATACTATAATTTTTTTTAACTAAAAGAACTGTATTGGAGAAAATTTGTAAACTACATGTTGTCAAGAGAAAATGTTAAACCTCTTTTGTGATGAAATCCATCCCATTCTGAGAGCATCATGGGTCTCAAGCTGTCCCCTAGGTCCTGCTCTCCAGCTGAGCATCAGCTCCTAAAAGTACCTGCTCACATCTGATCCTCCCCAGAGACTACCTGACCCCTACATACAAAAAAACAAAAAGTTTTACATCTTCCACCATTTAGCACAAAATAGATGTTGAATTAAATATCTGTTGAATCAATTTGTTGAATCACAAATCACACCAAAGAGAATAAACAGAGGTCTGGAAGCATTAAGGAAATCCCACCAGAAATTCTGAGTGACTCACTTGACATTTAGGAGGATAGCGATGGCTTCCATTACAGTCATGACCAAGTCAGGAGGCTTTGTGAAAACCCTGATTTCAGAGATATCTGCTTTATCTAAGGAGTCCAGTGCTTTGTTGGCAGCTTCGAGGGCAGGCAGTGCTTCTTCGAGATCTCTTTGAGCATCATCAGCTATGGCTTGGGTCTCTTCTGCTTTCACTTTAGCTATTGCTTCATCCTCTTGTACAACATTACGGACCTAACCATAGAAACAAAACTGCTTAAGGGTCTCATTACGGGTTGCACGTCTTTAATCAAACCCGAAATGTTTGGAGCATCAGCCCAAAGTCAGAAGTGGAAATTCCATACTTGACCTCCTGTGACAGGCCACAGTCACAGTGCAGGCACACTCAAAAAATTGTTTCAGGTTACTGTCAGATGATGTATACAAAGTGTATGTGAAACAAATGGATTTTGTGTTTAGACTTGAGTCCCATGTTCAAGACATCTCTTATATGTGCAAACATTCTAAATGTGGAAAATCCAAAATCTAAAACAAGGGGCATTTGACTTGTGTTTGAATTCGTTTTAAAACAAACCCAGATGCGGCTAGAGAAAGGGATCAGCAGTTAAGAACACTGGCTGCTCTTGCAGAGGACCCCAGTTCGGTTCCCACCACCCACATGGTGGCTGACAACCATTTGTAACTCTAGTTCCAGGGGCTCTGATGCCCTCTCCTGGCCTCTGTAGGCATTGCACACATGGGTGCACTTACATAAATGCAGGCAAAACACTCATAAAAAACACATAAAATAAAAATAATAAATAATTATAAAATACAAAGTCAGTAATAATGAAGTGTATTTGCCCTTTGGGTTAGGCCAATGATGAAAGGGGATTATATGACGTTCACTCTTTGTCCATCTCATGCCATGTTGATTGCATTATAGAAATAAACTTGATAGGCAGTTCCTTCTTAGGAGAGGAGAATGTTTGATTAATTGTAGTTAGTACTTTTCTCACAACTCTTTTGGTTCCATTCATTGAGCTGTACCAGTTCAGTGGTAGAGTACCATCCTGATTTGGAAAAGAGATAATGGTTACTACTTAAGACATTACCAAATTTTGGGACTGGAGGGAAGGCTCATCAATTAAGAGCACTGACTCCAGTTCCAGGGTATCCGACACCTTCTTCTGATCTCTGAGGGCATTGCATAACACAGGTGCACTTACGCATATGCAGTCAATACATGCATAAACATAAAATAAAAAATAGTAAATAAAATATTTAAAAAAATATTAAATTTAAAAAAAATTAGCATTACCAAGTTTACTACCTATTTTAATGACGCATACAATAAAGTGATCTGATCACTTATTGTGAATTAAACTCAATTGCCAACTTGACAGGAGTTTCCTGGAAACATACCTCTGGGTGTTTCTTTAAGAGTCTTCCCAAGGAAAGGTTTAGCTGAGCAGGAATGACCCACCCTGAACCTGTGGGTTGAGGTCCTAGACTGAAGAAAAAGGAGGAAGCGCCTGAGCACCAGCGTTCACCTGCCTCTGCCTCCTGACTGTGGGGACACCGTGACGAACTACCTCACACTCCTGACTGGACCTCATCCTTTTAAGCCATGAGCCCAAACAACCCCTTTCTCCCTGGAGTTGCTTCTTGTCAGGTATTTGGTCATAGCAATGAGGAAAGTGATATTCTTAAAATTTTACACAGTGACCGGTTGGCTGAATGAAGTCTTCTCTCCCACACCTTCGGCTATCATAGTGTACCTGATCGGCATTTTCTTGGTCCAATGCTAGTTTTTCCATTAGGGCTTCAATATCTTGTGATTTCTGTACTAGCACAGGTTCTAAAGCCGAAAGATCTGATTTCATTTTGTCCACTAATATGTTTGTTTCTAATAGCTTGGTGAGACCATTCTTCACTCGATCGCGTGCCTAAATGACAGCAAAGGTTTCCATTACAAGAGTAATAAGTTATTAATTATTGTCACTCATTATTCATATTAGAGTTTTATACCTACAGAATTAGCAAACTGATTCATAACACTTCAAGTTGTGACCCCAGTGCAAGTAGGGAAACCTTCAGGCAATAGAACTCTAGGCCTTGCCATTGTTCATGTGCTTGGATCCAAGCTCTCTGGCCACGCTGTGGGAGGTCCCTGAACTATTTTGCTCACTGAGGGAAGGGACTGAATGTGTGAGGGACAAATTCAGACAGCACTCCCTGAAAGCCTCAGTTCTGGGAGCTTATTCGCTCAGGGTGGGTCAAGAGCATTGATACCCCAGGGAGACAGGGCTCTGGCACTGAGCTCCGGTTGCTGGATCTGACCCCTACATCTTTAGTGTGTTTAAAATGTTGGAATTTTAGGTCATGTCAATAGCTTGATGGTGAGGAGGATGGCAGCTGCCATCTCCTGCCTACCTCATTCAGATCATAGTTCAAGCCCTTCATGAACACAATGTCCTATTAAATTCCACAACAATCCAAGTAGGAGCAGCAGATGTTTTTAAAGCTTATTTTCTAATTCTTGAAATTTTTATATTTTACTTTTTGTTTTTATGAGAGAGGATCTCATGTAGCCTAGGCTGGCCTCAAGCTCACTCTTGAAGCAGAAGATGACCTTGAACTCTGGGTCCCCCTGTTTCCATGGCCCAAGTGCTGGGATTTTAGGCCTGTACCAGTATGTTTACTTTAAAAGCTTATTTTTACATAAACTTACAGATCTTCCATGATGAGCTCAAAGTTGTGATGTAAAAGGAAGAACCTGGGGTACATGTAGATTGTGTGATACTAAAGTCCTTGGTCTTGGTGGGAACCAGCTGTCCATGTTAGAACACTAAAACTCATCTCTATCGCTCAACAGAAAGCTTTCTCCCATGTTAACCCTGCAGAGATGATGAGATCTCTCCTTAACTTTGATACCATTGTGTTGTCCTTATACTGAGTTAACAATATTTATGGAAATAAGAGAAGGAAAATATAAGTATTCAGGAAAGGGGGAAGCCCTTGTACCTACAGAACGAGACTTTCCTCCCCATTACAGGCTGTCAAGAGCACAGGTCAGTTTGAAGAGGACTCCAAAGGTGGCCAGGCACGTAGCTCAGTGACAGAGCACTTGCAGAGTGTTTCTAATCAGGTACACAGGTCTTTTACTCACTTCCAAAAGTTTTGGGTTCAAATCAAAACCAAACTGTTTTCACCGAGGAGATTGAGCTTACTGAGACTAGCTGCTGCTTTTTCTCAGTGAGCATGGTCAGGTAGAGATTGATGAGCTCCAGGTAGGAGGTGGGTGTGGTGTAATACCGTCTGCGGAGCTCAGCATAGTAGCGGTCTGCCATCTGGGAGACGCTGAGATGTACGTTCACGCACATCAGAGAAAGCTTTTCCCTCATATCGTCACTCCCAGTGTCCACAGCTGAGAAAAACGTCTTTGACACAGACAGAAGTGCTTCTCTGGGCCACTGTAAATAAAGACGCAAAACACCTGTGGGTCATTTCTACAACAAGCAAGTAAACAGCTGTAGGTGCTGGGACGACCTTTCACCTAGTTAACTTCTGTTCCCACCTCTGGGGCTTCATGAAAAGAATCGCTCTGTCTGTGATGGTGGGATCTGGATTTGTATTTGCTGACCAGTTTGCCTCCAGAATGGTTAGGCACACATACGTTGTTCAATTAATATCGGCTGACTGGATGACTAGGTATGACTGGAATTCCATGCATGTTACAAGAGCCTCTTATCTTCACTCTATTAGACAGTTGTCAAGGCAGGTCCATCAGAGTAACAGTGTCCTGCACCTACTCAACTTGAAATGCTTCTGCCTTTTCTAATACATCAATTCTGTACTCTCATGGATATTTCATACATGTCCCTCAGGCTGCTAGTTCTTCTTTCCTCCCATATAACTAAAACAAGCAAACAACTTCAGTTCTGCACCTGTGCCTCTGGCCTTTTTCCTCCTGTTACCCAAGGTAAGCGATGTGTGTTCCCAGTCCAGGCCAGCCTCCTTGTCGATGATCGCGCCTTGTACCTCACTGCTTATTCAGTGACACTGGAACCACAAGGCTTGGTGTCACACACTGCATCAGTATCTTTCTCTTAAAATCCCCATTCAAAAATATTTCTTTCTGGGCTAGTGTGATGGCTCATTGAGTAAAGGCACTTGTTGCTCAGCCTAATGACCTTGACCTGATTCTGTACTTGAGATCCACAGGGTAGAAGGAGAGAACTGAACTGACTCATAAGTTGTCATCTGACCTCTACGAACATGCCATTTTGCATGCCCCCCGCCCCCGTAAAGGTAATAAAACACTTCTCTTTTCTTGATCTTATATATCGCACTAACTCTTACCCATGTCTTTCTGTTTTCCTTTGGACAAAACTTTTTGAAGTTGTTGGCTGAACTCACCGTCTCTGAGTCTGACCCCTCTTCTCTCTTCAGTCTCTCGCCTACCAAAAAAACATTTGTTTTTGCAGATGTAGAGTGTGGTAGAAGTGGTGTGGCCCTGGAGAGATTGTTTTTGGATGTGATTCCACTGAAACAGCTCTTGTCAAGGCCACTGATGATGTCAGTGTCAGCAGGCTCTCTTCCTTCACAAAATCTGTTTTTTTTTTTTGTTCTGTGATCCTGGTCATTAGTTTGTGTCTGAGTAACTTCCTGGAAGCCCTTAGAGCTAATTCAAGCATTGTGAGCTGTGCTCAGACAGCAGGTTAACCTCTAAGGCAAGCAAATCTAACTTCTCAAAGGGGTGTCCTGGGGTGTCACCAACCTGGACAAACCAGTCAATGGTGCAGCAGTTGACCAGGGATGGGAACATCCGGCATCGGGACCGGAAGGCCTCGCCAACTGGGCTCATGCAGAGAACAATGTGCAACTTCTGACGGACTCTGCTGATAAAGTACTGAAACACCTGAAGAGAAAAGAACAGTTTTCAATTTAAAACAAGCAGGAAACGAAAACAATCAAGGATGCTCTCCTCAAACACAGTCAGCACAGTACATATGTCATTTGCCTGGCTGATCATCCATCCTAGCACATTTTGTTACATTGTGATGATTAGTGTTTTCAACTTGACAAAATCCAGAATCACCTGGAAGACCAGCCTCTGAGCATGTCAGGAAAGGGGGATTATTTTCATTATACTGATGTGAGAGGACTCATAATTGTGGGCATGACCATTCTCTAGGCAGGGGATCCTGGACTGTATAATGTGAAGGAGCTCAGCACTAGCATGTAGGTACTCAGTGCTCTGCTTTCCGATTGTGGATGTGTTGGCTTCAGTCTCTTCAAGCCACCTTGACTTCGCTGCCATAAAGGACTACACCTGAACTGTGAGCTGCGATAACCGCTTTCTTCTTTAAGCTGCTTTTGTCGGGTATTTTATCATAGCAATGAAAAAGTAACTAATACACTTATGTAATTTGGAAATATTAGAAATGAAGGTTTGAGCGAGGCCTGGCAGCTATGTAAACCTATAATCTTAGATACTCAAGAGGATTGCGAGTTCAAGACCAACTTGGGCTACAGAGTGAGTCCAAAGCCTCTCTGGACAACTTTGCGAGACCTTATCTCTAAAGAAAAAATAAAAAGTGTGCTGGACATATAGGTAGTGTTAGAGGATTATCTAGCACCTGTGAGACATTGGGTTCAATGCCCTGCACCTCAAAGAGAGAGAGAAAAAAAAAACATTTTTCTTCCTCCACTGTAACTTGCATGCTGTATATGACTTAGGTCCTTCTTCTCAGTATATTTGAGGAAATCTCTTGCATCAAGTGGAGAGAGATATTTATAGCAGGTTTTACTTTGGAGCAGAAAGCAATCAGGAGTGAAGGGCAGGGTACAAACATTTGTTTTTGCAGATGTAGAGTGTGATAGAAGTGGTATGGCCCTGGAGAGATTGGTTTTGGATTTAACCCCTTATTTCAGCTGGTAGAGCATGGGGCTAGCAGCTGATAGGGGCACATTGATTGTTTATTAGCGCCTTGGTTCAGCAGGAATAGTGTGGTAGAGACCATAGCTTCAGTGACAGTTAACTTCCACAGTGTGTGGTGGTTAGTTTTAATTGTCATCTTGACACAACACAGAATGTCCTGGATTGTTAACATATGGTTAGTCTGTGGGCATGTCTGGGGGATTTCTTTATTGTTAACTGACCCAGCCCACTGTTGAAGGCACCATTTTATGGACTGTACCCTGAATTATGTAAGAGTGAAGAAAGTTAGCTAAGCAGAGGAAGCAAGCAGGCAGCATGGACGAATTCTCTTCCCTGTGCTCTTGACTTGGTTGGGAAGTGACTGCTTCAAGTCTCTTCCTTGACTTCTCTGTCATGGACTGTGATGGGGAATTGTGAGCCAAATAAACCCTTTCTCCCCTAAGTTGCTTTTGGTCAGGATATTTGCTGTAACAACAGAAATGGAATTAGGACGGTGTGCATTATCCATTTGTCCCGAGGAGTTTAGTCCTCTTCTCTTTCTTTTGGCTCCCGATGACCCTGCACCTCTCTAAAGCATCCCTCTGGCTTATGTTAACGGAGGTAGACTCACTGACTGTTCTTATCATCTCTGACCCAGGGGAAATTCTCACAACGGGACACTGAGGCTACATGAACAGTAGCCAAAAACTGGAAGAAGGTGCAGAGAAAAAGGGAGAAGATTGGGGTGCGTGCCTGAAATCACTGTGGTGGAGAAATGGCAGTGGGTAGCTGCTACATTGTTCCTGAGGGAGAGAAAGCATATCCTGCATAACTTTGCTCATAGGTGAGGAGGTGAAGAGCCTTCTTAGACTTCGACCTGCAGCCTTCCTCCGGGGGGCACTGCAGGTGTGTCCATGATCACAGACTTAAGAACAATGGAACTGATCGGTTAGACAAGACTGTAATCTCAGCGAGGTGGTCGAGTTTCTGATATGGACATTTCTGGAAGTCTAGTGAACCAATACTTTAAATATAGAAAATAAAATACATACAGTTACAAAGAAAAGTGTATTGAAAAAAATTCAATCCATGGGACACCTTACAGGAGAAGTGGGGACTGTTGAGTAAAAGGCTAGGGCAACCTTTTGTTTATAAAGTCACACGACTACTCAGGCATGCGCTACCTCATCTCGGTTCCCTTGGGAAATTCCCACTTCTTTTGCTCTTGGTCTGGTGGCTGCTAAGACCTGCTCCAGCTCATCCTTTTCGAATAAGTTAGGGACTTCACCTGAATTTAGGATATTATTGATATCTTCTAGAAACTCTTCCACTACAATCTGTAGAAGAAAGCAGAGTGATTATTGTAACTCAATCATTTTAACGTTATCATATGGAAGCTATAAAGCAAATATTTACTCGAAAATTCACATGCACTGATTTCATCTTTAGCAGAAGATAATCTTAAAGTTTAGATGGTATCCTTTAAGATGGCATTCTAAAGTTCTAACATAGCAAATGTATTGATGTTCTTCATCTTTCTTTCCTGTTTTGTCTCTTTAAAAGCATTTATATCTCTTCTAGATTCATGTCATTGCTATAATAAAATATCCTGACGTAAAAGCAACTGAAGGAAAAAAGGGTTTATTTGGCTTACAACTCCAGCCTTCAGGGCAGGAGCTCACATCTTCAGTCAAGGGCAGAGAAGTAAACGCATGCTTGTTGCTTGTTTGCTCATGCCCCACTAGCTTCTTCTTTTTCTTATACAATTCAGGACACCCTACCTGGAGGATGGTGCCTCCTGAACCTCACAATGGGCTGGATCCTCCTGCATCAAAGAACAGTCAAGACCATCCTCACAGACATGCACATAGGCCATGCTGATCTAGGTAATTCCTTAACTAAAACTCCCTTTTCAAGTGATTCTAGGTTGTGGCAGCTGGCAGTTAGAACTAATTAGCACAGCCTGGTGTGGTGGCGCATGTCTTTAATCCCAGCACTTGGGAGGTGGAGGCAGGCAGAGCTCTGTGATTTCAAGGCCAGCCTGGTTTATATAGTGAGTTCCAGGCCAGCTGGGGCTATCTATGAGAACCTGTCTCAAAAAGACCCCCCCCCCAAAAAAAAAAACTAATTAGCACAATATTTTACCTGGTCCAAGTCAGAGGTACAAGTATTTTATATTTTGCCTACCCAGTTATTATTTTATAATAAAAATTTTGTGTGTGTGTGTGGTGGGGGGGGTTGGACAGGGTCTTACTTTGTAGCCCTGGCTAGCCTGGAACTCCTTATATAGACCAGGCTGGACTTGAGCTCACAGAGATTTGCCTGCTTCTGCCTCCCGAGTGCTGGGATTAATTATTATAAATTTTAAACCAGTAGAGCAGTGTCAGTATGGAAGTGTAACACATGAGACAATGCACTGTGCATTTCCACGGACTTGGATGCTTGCAGTCTTGTTTACACTGTAAGGTCATTTTTAGGTCTTGAGCCTTGCTTCCCAGTTGGATTAGTTTCATGGAATAAATTCCCAGGAGTGAGATTAGCAATTAAAATGCAGGAATTTTGACCAGTTCCCATTCTGTTCTAGTATGACTTTAGTAACTTTTAATGTTTTTACTAATTTGCAGTTTATAAATGCTTCCTTTGGGAGAATTTAAGCAGCATGTCTTTGCTTTGTGGCAGGGGCAGATTTAGTCAAATTTATTTCTTTCCATTAAAAAAAATTTGTTCAAAGTTTATAGACACTTAAAATTTCTTTCTTTTTTTTTTCTTTTCAAGAATTCATTCTCTGAGGATTTTATACATGCATATAATGAAATAGGTTGGTTTCCTTCTCCCGGTTCTCCCAGATGTCCCTCAACATGTCTCTCTCCCAACTTTATCATCATCTCCTCTTCTCCTCCTCCTCCTGTTTTGAGTTTGTGTATTTTAGACAGCATTCCTCCTCCTCCTGGTTCTCCTCTTCCTTTCCTGGTTGTCCCCTTCCTCCTCCTGGTTCACCCTCTCTTCCTTCCTCTCTCTTTTCCATCCATTTCCCTTCACTGTCTTTCTCCCCTCCTCCCCCTCCTCCTCCTCCTCTTCTTCCTCCTCCTCCTCCACCTCCTTTGCCATCCTTCTCCTCTTCTTTTAAAATTACCAACTAGGTCCAATTAGTGTTGCCTGTATGTGCATGGGTGTGAGCCCATCCGCTGGAGCATGGGCATACCAGTGGCCACCCCCAAAGAAGAGTGATCCCCCTCCCCCAGGAGCTATCAGCTGCCAATAGCTCCTCAGCTGTGGGGGCAGACCTCAGGGACTGGGGTTTTTCTTTTAGATCTGAATGAGTGATTTGCACAGTATGGAATAAACTTCTTTATTTCATAGTTGATGAAAGTATTAAAAATAATTTATCATCTTGTTTCTGTTCTTTGTTATATAAGATTGTTAATTTTCCTTCAGAACTAATGCTAATTTTTATCATTTTCTGCTCATGCCCTACGTGCCTTGATGCTTTCTTATTGTCTTTCTTGCTAAAGTTTGAGGTAAACTACTTTTGATTGCTTGTAATTTTTGAATCAAACATAGATTCCACTTATATTTGGTCCATTATTCCTGACTAGAGATTTAAATATTTATTTATTTATTATTTATGTATGTGTGTGGGTCTGTGTACACACCATGGCATGCACGTGGAGGTCAGAGAACCCTTTGTGGATGCAGTTCTGTCCTTCCAACTTGTCTTTCTTTTGTTTTTCTTTTCAAGAAATTTGGGTCCCAGGGGGAGGGATCCCCTGGAACTGGAGTTATAGATGGTTTCTAGGTGCCATGTGGATGCTAAGAACCGAACCTGGGTCCTCTGCAAGAGCAGTCAGTGCTCTTAACTGCTGAGCCATCTCTCTAGCCCTGGTAATAAGTACTTTAAAATTTTATTTATTTATTATGTATGTTTGAGAATGCATGATGTGTGTGTGTGGGGCAGGGCAGCATGCCTGTGGATTTGGCTCTCTCCTTCCACCTTTATGTGGGTTTGGGGATCGAACTGAGGTTGCTAGGTGTATGCTATAAGCATTTTTGTCTGCTGACTCCTTTTGCCAGCCCCTGTAGGTGTTCTGTATGAAGTGCTCAAAAATTCAGTAAAAATAAACATTGAAACAAACAAACAAAAAATCCCCAAATTTTCAACTAAAGAAGATATAAAATCATTGCATTCATAGATGTTGAAGTGTTTTTTCCACATTTTGCATTTGTAATTAATTAATCCTGCTTATGTTTTAAAAACTGAAAGTTAAAAGTATGTGTATATCAAATCTAGTATGTTTTTTATACCTTGGTTCATTTCTAGAAAGGTTATTTCCCCTGAAGTTGAAGAATCCAGTATAATTGGTGTTGAAAACACTATAGAATTTAAGATCACTCACACTGGCAGTGTAGATGTAGATGCGATTTTACTTAATTTTAGACTTAGTTTGGTCCCGAACTGAGGACCTTATTTTTCCTTTTCTTGAGTATAACGTACCTCCTTCACTGATTTCACTGAGGAAATTCTTTTCCTATATGTACTTCTAAATACTGGTTAGCTTTAGTTGTCAGCTTGACAGAATTGGGAATCACCTGGAGGAGTCTCAATGTGGAATTGTCTAGTTTGGGTTGGCCTGTGGACATGTGTGGGGGATTATTTTAAGTAAGTTAATTTATGTGAGGAGACCCAGCCTACTGTGAGTGGTACCATTCCCTGAACTGTGTTTGTGTAGAAAGATGAGCTGAGCTCAAGTAAGCAATTCATTTCTCTCTGCTCTTCCTGTGAATGTGGTATGACTAGAAGTCTTAAATTCCTGCTGTCTTGATTTCCCTGCAACCTGGAATTGTGATATAAAATAAACCCCTTCTCCCTTAAGCTGCCCTTTCTTTCAGGCTATTTTATTAAAGCAACAGAAATGAAACTAGAACAATTACCTTCTACTGTCTTTGCCTCTCCCCCAAAGAATAGCTCTCTTCACAATTTGATCATAACTACTTAGAATTTAAAGGGAGACATTTGGTAGAAAGAAAGCAGTATCATAAAGATCTTTTACAAGGGGCAGGGAATCTACTAGCAGAAGCAACAGTTCTCTGTACTTCACCTTTCATGAACAGCAACGGTGGACTGTAACCTCATGTGTTTCCTGTTCTTATACATATTACTGTTTCATTATGTACCTGGGTATCTGTGAAAAGGAAAACCATATTTTTGTCTTCCACACCAGCCATTTTGTACAACTTCCTCAGATCATCATGGAAACTATCGTAGTTATATCCCCGGTTAAGTTCAATCTGGAAACACCCGTAACCACATATATGAGCTGCAAGTCTAGTGAGGGACTGCTTTCCTGTGCCTCCTACACCAACCAGCAATGCATTGCCTCTTTCCTGGCGGATCATCCGTGCAATCCTGTAAGGAACAGAGCAGAGAAAGATTGACTTCAAGTTCACAGACTGAGAGGGCCTGCTCCAGTGGGGATCATTGGTGGCCAGCAGAGGAGGATGCTGCAGGTATCAGCAGGCATCTCAGGATCATCATTGGGTGAATGCACTGCTTGCTTTTCCCCCATCTCCCCCCCATTTCCCTTCAGGCTGGGTGACTCTCTGCCTTAGATGTGGGAATTCAAAGTAGAGTAAAATTCCCTTGCTCTTGATCTAAGTGTAAAGGATTTTGTCAGGAATGTTGACTTAGGCCATAACTTCTGTTGACCATTACATAGGCAAGCCCAGGTCTCCAGCTAGAAGGATCAGATCTAGGAAAAGACACTACCATTGGGAAGAAGCTTTCAGTAGGAACAATCATTGTATGCTGGCAACTGCATTTTAGAGAGTTTCTAATTCACTTTGGTGAGAATTTGAAACAGCACGACAATGTTATAAGAATGAACACTCAACAAAAAGGAGAAAGAAAAAAAAAGGAGTTTAGGAAAAATGGGAGAGAGATGGAAAATCTTACCAGTAAACTGAGAAGCCAGTCCCCTGGAAGGCGTACTTCGGAAATGGGAGGAGGGGAGGAAATGGAGCAGGTGAGGAAGGGGACACGCCCAAAGAACGTGCCCAGAGCTCAGAGAAAAAGAGCTAAAAAGACGAGACAATGAAAGGAGGACAAATCTTGGAGAGCAGATGGAATCTCAGCAGCCACATGGTGGCAGTTACAGAGGGAGATTCAAGACAGACCAGAAAGAACTGACTGAAGTGCCCAGAGACTCCCTGCAGCTGAGCCCACAGGCCCCACATAAGAGACCAGCACTAAACTGTGTTCAGAAGGTGTGTAATAGAAAATGGATAATAGCACCAGGCATAGTGGTCTTTAATCCCAGCCTTTGGGAGGCAGAGGCAGGCAGATCTCTGTGAGATTGAGGCCAGCCTGGCCCACACAGTGACTTCTGGGCGGGCTGGGAGTAGGAAGACTCTGTCAAAACACCACCACCACCACCGCCCCCCAAAACCCAAGAAACCAAAACCAAACCAAGCCAAAGCAAAAACAATAAAATAAAAAATAGCAAACTGTATACAGAGAGATCTGTTAGTTTATTTTTGAAGCAGGGTCTATTTTACCTAGTCTGGCTTTGAACTTGCTAGATAGCTGGGATGACTTTACTTTAAAAAATTTTTTTCTTTAGTTTTTGCAGTAGCCTGCGTGTGGAAGTCAGAGGACAATCTCAGGATTGGTCTTCACCTTCCACCTTGAGGTACTATCTTTTGTTGTTTTGTCCCAGTGTATGCCAGGTTAGGTGGCCCACAGGCTTCTGGGAATTCTCTCTGCTTCTCATCTCAGAGTAGGAGTGCTGGGATTACAGATGTGTGTGGAGCATTAGGTTTGATGATGGTTTTGGGGTCCTCATGCTTGTGCAGCAAGCACTTTTACCCATTAAACCATCTTCTCAGCCTGACCTTGAAGTTTTGATCTTCCCCCTTCTGCTCTCAGGTGCTGGGATCATAGGCCTACACCATCACTCCCAGCCATGAGAGCTACATTTTAGACACAAAATATTTTATTATTTTAATTAAAAAATATTTTATTTATTATTTTTATTTTATGTGTGTGTATTGCCTACATGGATGTAAGTGCACCTGTGCCATGCAATGCCCATGGAGGTCAGAAGAGAGCATTGGAGTCCCCTGGAACTGGAGTTAGCTGCCATGTGGGTGCTGGGAATCGAACTCAGGTCCTCTGCAAGAGCAGCCTCTGCAAGAACAACCAGTGCTCCTAATCACTGACCCATCTCTCTAGCCCCACAACTGAAAAATCCAAAGGGAAAAATCAACTTAGAAGGGTTATAGGTTTCTTTCCTACAATAACATTTCACCAGGCAACAGTGAGGGGGGAAAATGCTACATTATGGCTCAGAGAGCCGTCACCTGCCAACCCTTCCTGAATGGGTCTGAAAATATAAAAGTGCTTCCTTTGAAGAATTAGCATCAGTGCCTTAGATCTCAAATTGAGTTTTTATTTTAAAGGAATATCTGCCATTCATCCATCCATCCATCCATCCATCCATCCATCCATCTATCCATCCATTGTAGTTTGCTTTCTGTTCCTTGGATAAAACACTGGCCAAATAAAAGTTGGGGAGAAAAGGATTTACTTGGCTTACACATCCCAACCGCAGCTCAGTATCTCGAGAAGCCAAGGCAGAAACTCAAGGTAGAAACTTGAAGCAGAAACCATGGAGGAGCACTGCTTATTGGCTTGCTTCCCATGGCTTGCTCACCTATCTTTCTTATACAACCCAAGTCCACCTGCCCAGGGATGGCACTGCCCACAGTGGTCTAGGCCTTCCTATATCAGTCAGAAATCAAGAAAATGCCCCACAGACATGTCCACAGATCAGCCTGAGGGAGGAAACTCCTCAATTGAGGTTCCCTCTTCCAAGATTTAACCATCACTCTATCTATCTATCTATCTATCTATCTATCTATCTATCTATCTATCATCATCATCATCTA